TAAATCAACATTACATCCGCTATGCGTGCGCCAGCTATCTGATACTTTTCTATATCTGCCCGATTCGGTAGGATATGAAAAATTATTTTAAAATGTTACGTCCCCAAGAAATATTAACCCCAACTTCATTTCGGAAATTTGACGTCTGAAATTTGAGCTGAGTGCGTCAATGGTCACGTTCTTGCCAAGTTTTAGTTTTCCATATGTCTCCATTTGATTGATGCAAAGATAACTATTTGAAAATATGTTCCTGGAGAAGGTGTGCCCCTATAGCATGCATCACCAATATAATTTTTCCAGAACACGTGAATAACCACTCATGTCATTCAGTCGGCTACTCACGATCGTCTATATATAATAAAAGATGTTTTTCTTTACTCAGCTATCCATCAAGTACGTCTGCCCATGTTTAAACTTTCTATCATCCTACATTTGGTTGAATCAGAAATTTCAAGAAAATACATACGCCTTTTGTAAAATATGTGGCCTCAGACGTTTTTACCGAAAAGTACCTTTTTCTTTTACCGATATCCATCCTCAGTGAACTACATGCTCACAAAGTTTCAATCTTTTTACGTTTGCCAGTAGGCCTATCGTTGGTGAAAAGTCATGTTTGGAATAGCCGCCCCACCTAAAAGTTATCCCCGGAGGAGATGCACCATGAAAGGGAGATACTCAACTCAGTAATATCATGTCACTTTTACGTGTGCCAAGTTTCACCTTTCCATTTCTGTCCAATTCGCCAAAACAATTTTTTTCTTCAAAATATCGCCCCTCGAAAAAATCCCCCCATGGGTTGTATGGAGACTGAATTTTTTTCTTTAACTCCTTGTCTCATAAGTCACATTCATGCAACGTTCCAGCTTTCCATGTTCATTGGTTTATCTGGTGCAAAAACAATTAGTTGAAAACATCTGTTTTCAACTAATTTTAGATCCATCCCCTAGTTTTAGAGTTTTAGATCCATCCCCTAGTTTCTAGGGGATGGATCTAAAACTCTAGTTTCTAGAGTTTTAGATCCATCCCCTAGGGCATGGATCTAAAAATTTGCATTTTTCCTGAACTCATCGTCTAGGTAGGCAATTCCATGCTAGGTTTCAGCTTTCCATGTCTCTCTGTTTTATTCAAGGAAAAATAATGTTAATAATGTTAAGGAAGTGGGAATGAGTAACGGGACCTGGATGCCAACAAAAGCCACAGAAGAAAACACATAGAATGGCCATGAATTGAACCATGGCCTCCTGATTGACGGCCGGGTGTGCTACCACTACTCCTTTGAAACAAGGACATTCTCTCGTCTCTCTTGTTGCCATCCTTATCAGTCACAATATATGTTTAAAAAAAAACGTCTTCCCCCAAAATGTGTACCCCCAGGGAATGTACCTCCAAAGTCAGATTTTTCTGAACTCTGCATCCCAAAAGGTACATGGGCATCAAGTTTCAGATTTCCAACCTTTCTAGAACATGGTATAATTAGCGTCAGTCTGTCAGTCACAATTGTCAATATATATTAGACGGCGACAGGTCAGTCATTCCCTCTTTAACTCTTACCATAACGAGCTTGTTTGCCGGATGAGCAAACAAACTCGTAATTGCCGCGCCTTTATCTGGGATAGTGATTAAATTAACTCTTTTTCTAGGCGGCATAAACTTCGGAAATTTTGATCGAAGTCATTACTCACATGACTTTTTGTGGGTGTACCGTGTAATATCTTTATGTGCTTTGCCCACCCCCCTCCCCCCCCCTCTCAGGGGGTTTTCGCACCTCCATGCGGACTTTCCCAAGGGGACGTGTTTAAAGTCCCGCTTGTTACACTTGGGAATCCGTTTTCATCCCGTCAATGATGACCTCCTCGCCGAGATGAGATTTCCGCCCCTAATTATATCGGGATCTCGCCCTAATCGGCATTCTCAAGAGGAGAGTGACTTCCGAAGTTGAACGTGGCGAGATTCCATCAGGATGGAATAGAAGAGAAGTCCCTACCCTTGGGCCGGCAACACGCCGTTGGCCATGTATTAACCAGCCTGTTTCTGAAGCGTATTTTTCACTCATAGGCCTTGATGAAATTTGAAGGAGATAAACTTTACGGACGATACACACAGGGTCATGGTCAAAATCGGAAATGCGTGCCTCTCAATACGAGGATGTGGCTTCCGATTGTTAAAGGGTTTGGAATCCCGATTAATATAGGGGCTATCTCATCCCGGCGACGAAGCCATCCCCTCTATGTTGGAATGAAAGGGGACTTAAAGGATTATACGCTGGAACATTTTACACATTCCCAAAGAAAAGTCCGTATCCGCGCATTCCCGCCCCCCCCCCCCCCTCCCGAGAAGGGGGAGGGGGGTGCGCAAGACGTACAATTTCCGAGCGACTCCTGCCCAGAGCGTTGATGAGCCCGTTGACTGAAGTTGTGGATTCCCGACAATGCTGTACGCTTAGCCGAGGCCATGGCTGTTAAACTTGATTAAGCTGTGGGATGGATGAAAATCTTGAGTGGTTGGGACCACATAAGCAAATCTTGCGCCAAAGTTTCATTGCTAATAGGTTTTAAATTTACGCTTTTCCAAAACCACCTGTAGAAAAGGACTTGAGTCAGACATAATCGACTAGCAGGGCGATAGTTTGGCACCCGTGGCCTAGGCCGATTAAAAGTTCGTGGAAGTCTTCCACGGTAAAAAAATCCAATATTTACTTTTTTTATTGCAGCACAGTCAATAGAATGATTTATATTTCTACATGGAATACCTCAACGGGAAGTGAGAATTTCCAAAGTAACTATTAGGTCACTGAGCAAAACTAACTGACCTAACCTGACTGACAGGCTAAGGGCATGTATGTGTGCAGCTGAATCCCTTCACTGTGGTGCTGAAATAACAGTAAAAGAATAGGTAAATACCCTTTCTAGGAGCGATCCTACGCTCCAATGACCCATTGCCGCAATATATAAATTAAGAGATATTTTCACGTCAGTCTATCATCATCTTTTCATCAATTGACAAAATGGTTCATTTTTGCAGCAACTAATGGATACGTCTGAAACCGAGACGAAAAGTCGAAAAGTATGAAGAACTTCAACCTCGATTGACTTTGGTCTCCTCACCGAATAGAACCGCTCTATGTGATCGTCCTCCTTTACTCCTTGTAGTTCTCTGGGTAGTTGGGAGTTTGGACGGTCACCGAATCCCCTGGATACATGGAACGACACGAAGTTCGGTTCCCTGTGGTGCGGCTCAGGATGAGAGAATACTTTATTACTCGTAGACTGGTGAACGCGTGGAATGCGTTAGACGAGGACGTAGTGGCTGCCCCTTCATTTTTCCCTTCAGCCCCTTAAGTTTCATTGCTCTTTTTGTTCTTTACCCTTTGCAAGAAAGACGGAAGACCAGGGGAAACGATAGAAAGCATCTGCTTGTAACTTGTGGATGTTTCGTTGTGGTCTCTGTTCTGTGAACTTTGTAAATAGACATGAAAAGAAGACACGGGAAAACATGTGGATAATAATTGGTTTTTTATTTGTATATATTCCATTGATGTTTCTATTCTGTGACCTATTTAAATAGGTATATATTATGAATAAAAACATTGTAAAGCATTAGAGCAGCACCCCATTTTGTCCCTTTTCAGTGCCCCTTAGGTGGGACAAAACGGGGTGTTTCACAACAACTTTTAGAATTATCAGAGGAAAAAACCGTCGCTGATTTCGCGATGAAGTTGAATCCTATTCGTAGGTAAAACATGAAAGATACCGCAAACCAATCCGCAACGTGCTACGCCAAGTCCTTGGTACTAAATTTTTAGTAATTTTCCTAAACTGTCCCATTTTGCCCCACCATCATCTACAATTTGGAAACCATGCTGTTAATTCAAGGGTGTCAGCGCATAATGCCTCCATATTTCATCGCATTGATAGGCAAGTCCTAACCACCGTTTCATTCTCAGCTCATCCAAAAATGTCTCAACTTTAATACTTTTAGTTGGAATTCTTCTGGTGCCAATAGGTCGGTTTCGCTAAAACAAAATATTTGATTAAAAAAAAAAAAAAATGGTTTTAATGTGCAAAGTAGTCCCATCCTGAGTCTACGACATCTTGACAGTTGTCCAATAGCCACTCGACCTCCTCTTTGAGCGCCTCCTCGTCCAGCGTCTTAACCCACTGCGATGCGTCCTCCTGAACCTCAAGATGGTAATTGAAAACTCTTTCCTCGAAGTCGTTCTTCATCCATTTAAGGGGGAACCTGTCGCACAGATAGAAGTCCGGGTTGTACAGACTTTGGAAGAACATCGTGATAATACGCTGGGTCATGAAGTCCTTCACAGCAGTGAATGTGAGGGATCGCACCTTGACCAACCAAGTGCCGGCTTCGAGCAGATTAGGACCGGCTTCAAGTGGTCAAGCGGAAAGTGGCTTCAAGATGACTCTCCATGTGGCAGAGCAACGTTGGATGGATGTTGATTTTACGTAGATATATCGACTTGAAAACGTTGAGTAAATGTTGTAAGTATACGTAGACTCGACGTGGAAATGGAAATATGATCTCCGTGGATCAATCGTAGAGTCAACTTTTTTATCTTTGGCTTTTGCAATGACTCCTTCCCTCTTAGAGATTCGCAAACTATACAATCCAACCGAAAAATTCTCCAACATAACATATTTATTTATTTAGCCATTTAGACAACTATTCCTTATATTAACATTTCCAGAATATCAATATGAATCACTTCCAAAGAAGCCACATTATCCTCTTAGAGCAGGATTCTTCAGATGATCACTCATGTAGTTCCAGCTACTCACACTAACATCATTCACCATGAACTGGAAATCTAAGAAAACACGGTTAAGTAGTTGCCAGGCAGCGAAAGGCTCGCTCAAATGACGAGATCTCCGGGAATTCCTTGCCTCCGACGTTCGCAAATGGAGCCGGCATGTTTGTAATCAAGATAAGGCAAAGAACGTATGTAGGTTCCCTTCGATTGGACTTTCGAGTATCGAAAATGAATGAGTCAGGGAGCAGACGAAAGTGAGTCATGGAGGGAGGAGAGCGAAGTAGACATCACTGGAGGTTAGCGGGTCCCTCTCTCACGTCAGTTCTAAGTTATCCTATCTCCATATCCGTCAAGAAGTGTTGTCCGTTTATGTACGAATATTCCCCGCCGTGAGGGACACGATGCACAGACGTTTCCAGTGAGGCACGAAGACGGACAGCAACTTACTCTCCGTGGATTTCTGCGAAGACAGGCGAGAATGCAGTGTACATACTTCCTCATTATTGTTGCCAAGTTCCTCTCTGCTGCCTACGTATATGCAGGTATGGAAGAACATTTCATCTGTCGTTTTTGGAAACGATAATTCGATGTCGAAATTTTAGTCTAGAGGCTAATCGCCGCTTTTCATTCCGAAACTGAAATTTAATTTAGTAAATTATTGATATGTTATGAATTTGTTGCCTTGAAGTGATTGCAAGGGAGAGACTTAGCAGTGCGCCAAATCTAGTACGAATCATCCCTTTTGGGTCCTTCTGACGGCAAAAGCGAAAATGGATCACCTAAGATGAATTTTAGACAATAGTAAGAAGCCCGTTTCTAGCATGTTCCACCTTCTTTTCTTTATTACCATGATGTACATGATCTGATGAGATGCAAGAAAATGCTCATCACGTGCATGATCAGATGATATGAATTACCTTACATACAGGTTGCTCTTCGAAGCTTTATCATCCCAAACATTAAGTTTCTTAACAGATGAAAACGATGAAAATGAATGCCAGTTTTAGACATCAGAAGCGTCTACCTATTAACCTCGTGGGAGTCACTGAAGTCCATTACTTATATTTTCTCAGGTGATAAAGAATGTGAAAATGAAATTGATATGAAAAAGTGTAGAATTGAAATAAATGCAAAGGACAGTCAGGTTTGATAAGACAAATAATCTGAGACAGTGGAAAAAATCTCGCATCGAGAACCGAGAAAAAACTAGAAGCGATGAAACACTCGAACAAAGGAATCCATCTCTGATCGGTGGCTATGTCGATCTCTAGAAGCGAGCGGCGACCGACCGAAATCGTTCCCGCCCCATACCTGGAGACCCGTGTATCTGGGTTCGGCGGTCGGAGATCCGTGCAACGAGACCGAAGTCTGCGAGCCGGCGGCGACCATGTTGTGCGGTGAGATGAACACGTGCGAATGCAATCATCTCTCCGAATATTATTTCGACTGTCGTTCCTGTGAGTCCTCTCGCTCGATTCCGTCTCAACTATTTCCGGAATTCGGTAGACTGTGGGCTTGGATCGACCGTTTATGTACGGTCTTTGAGGTGGAAAGGGGACGGAGCCGGAACTAGACAATCTTCCTGAACTAATCTCATCAACTGCCAATTCAATTGCCGATCTGATTTTTTCAACGTACTCAATGGTGGGAAGATCAACGCACACAGTCCTTTCCTTTCAAGTGACACCCCCCTCGATGATATATCCGAGAAATAACATCCAAATATTCAGAAATTATTTATTTGTTTCACGCAAGTCCGCTACTCGATAACTGAAGGCCGCACGCGAAAATGACGTGAAATCCCAGTTGTCGATCTTGCCCACATCCTGCAGAACCCTACACTTTCATCACAACGAATTGGCAAACCATGGCGATAACTGCATTTTCAAGAACCGTAAATTTTCATGTAGGCATTCGGAACTCGTGTTGTTATTGTATTGGAAGTTTCGTTCATGCGGTGGTTCCTCGTACGTGGTAGGAAATTGCTTTCATATTGTGGGAATCAAATGATTTCCTATTTCAGATTTGCGTCACGAAGCCCCTTGCGATGAAGCAACTGAAGTATACTGCACAGATCCTCTCATCTGCAACAGGAGCATGTGCATTTGCGAGGACGCCAAACCAAATGTCTTGTACAGAGAGTGTTATTCCCAATCCGGTGAGTCTGATCCTCAATCCTTTTCCTTCCGGGAATCACGTGACTAATGGTTTTAATGACGATTTATTCATTTTCTGTCCGATATAATCGCATTCTATCAATTCAAAGGGCTGAACGAATCCTGCACTTATGATGGAAATTGCATGCATTTGGGAGGCAGTCAAGCAGCCATATGCAAAGATGGAAGGTGCCAGTGTAATCATGACAATGGGTTCTTCGAAGCGGACAGCACATGCGGTAAGCATTTCGATTCGTCCTCAAAGCGTATAATGCAGTAGGTATTCCTAGTAAAATATCTGGAACCTTGAATTTCAATGAGGGAATATTTTGCATGCAGCCGGGGCAGGCCAGTTGACGGGGGCCATCCTCATCCTCTTCGCCTGCACCCACTTGCCGGCCTGGCTCTCTTGACATCATCCGACCCGAATGTAAATCGAAATCTCATTACATTCCATAATGAATGTACGAGGTTTGATCAAAAAGTTCCGGGACTGAATTTTTTTATGTCGCTGTGGTGACTATTTCCGATTGCTGATGGTTATTTCCTTGAAACTAGTCCTCTTTATCATCGACACAAATTTGTATGACCCTGAAACTAATAAGAGCCTGGAGCAACTTAAGCGTATATTTCCTAATTACAGCATGGATACAAAAGCCATTTCTTCAAAGTTCTTCTATGGTTCCTCCAGAATGCTTGAGGAAAGTGCTAGCCCATTTACTCGCGGTTTGCAGACAGTGTTGTCCTTTTTGTCACGCAAGCCAATGTGGGAAAATATGGCCATCTCTATTTGGGGTAATATGGACACATCTTTAATTTCATAGTAGCACCTCGCTGACCTTTTGGTAGTGTTAGCTTCCTTTCATGCAGGATCTCAGGTTGCAAAAGATCATCCGATGCATTTCCTCTGGATATATGGATAGACGTGCTGGACATTGAACTAAATATGCAGTAGGGGAAAATGGGGCAAAATGGATCGGTATAGCGGCTCCATATATCTATTCTTCTCTGGCTGGTATATACGGGGTGGGCCAGAAGTAAGGAAACACGTTTGAACTGTAACAAAAACTTTTATGGAAAAGCAATCGAGCTAAACAGTGGTACACACAAAAACACATGTTTATGAAGTGTTCAAAGACATAAATATTTTCATGAAAATTGTTGTATATGTCAACTGTTATAGTTATTTTTTTGCAAGTACAGTCTTACAGGTAGTAATAGGTAAACTCGCTGGCATGTTTCCACTGGCAATCTCCACATTGTGACAACAATGGGATCCCTGAGTTTGGAAGAATCCTATGGTTCATCTCATGGACAATGCCTTAGATTGGACTGCAGAAAAATATGTCAGCTGCAGTTAAATCCAGTCAACATTGAGAGCAAGCATTGATGACGACGTGTTTTTCTGTGGCATCTGTGAAGTTGCATCTATGATGAACACATTGATAACTATTTGAAACAGCAGCAATTACTTTCCCATAAAAGTATCATTGTTGTTTCTTTTTTGTTGCCTTAGTAAATAGGCACAAAATGAAAATATGGGAAGACATGGCAAAAACACGGTTTATTTGAATTTGTATTGCTGTTTCTGTTCTTTGACCTATTTAAATAGTTATATATTATGAATAAAAGGTTTGCAAAACAATATCTGGAGGAGTACCCCGTTATGCCTCACAGGGACCTCTCATTTTGTCCCATGGCTAGGGCAAAACGGGGTATTTGACAACCATTTTTGAAATTGTCGGTTGGAAAACACTGTCGCTGATTTCGCGGCGAAGTTGAATCCTAGTCGTTAGTAAGACATAAAAGGTACTGCATACCAATCTGAAAACGCGCCGCGCCAATTCCTTAATACAACATTTTGGCAATTTTCCTGAACCGCTCTGTTTTGCCAAATTCCCGTGCAGCACTCTCAAGAGGAGAGTGCCTTCCAAAGGTGAAAGTGGCGGGATTCCATCTGGATGGGATAGAATAGAAGCGCTTATCCTTGGATCGGCAAGACGCCATTGGCTGCGTATTAACTAGCTTGTTCTGAAACATATTTTTCACTCATAGGCTTAGATGAAAAGTGGTGGAGATGAACTTTACGGACGATATGCACAGGGTTGTGATCAAAACCGGAAATGCGTGCTGCTTAATACGAGGATGGGAGTTCCGAATGATAAAGGGTTGGAATCTCTATAAATATTGGGGCTATTTCACCCCGGCGACGTATTGAAAGGAAAGGGGACTTAAAGGATTATACGCTGGAACGTTTTACATATTCCCGCAGAAAAGTTCATATCATAGGAGAGAATAATCCCTAAGTAGGGGAGGGGGTGTGCAAGACGTACAATACAAGACGTACATTCTATTCTAGATCTTCTATATCTTTCTCTCCCTCTCGTCATATGTCATGATTAAATAAGGCCATATTAATTATTTCACAATCTATATGAATATTTCGTTATCTTGGTACTTCGTTTGTCCTAATATATTACGTTGATGAAAACTATTCACTCAGAGCTGACTCCAGGACAACCGACCAACTGTCAGATTGACTCTGTCCCCTTGGTTTTGACAGGAACTGTGATCCGAGAGAGAGAAAAGAGTGAGATAATAAAAATATTCATTTCTGGGTCAAATTCATGACTTTTCCTTATCGGATCCTCCTCCTTTCAAATTTCCATTTTAATTTAAGTGATTTTTCATTTAACTAAAAGTTATTTTAAGTGGATGTAAGGATTGCCGCACCGGGTGTGAAGATAATTCAAACGTAACCAACTATGCAAGACCAACCTTATTGATTAGTAATTTCAAGAATAATACTATTTTTCTCATTTGACTTACCATAATACTTTTCTGGAGGCCTTGTCGTATTGCTGAACAGATACGGTATATAGTTTGTGGTTTTTTAAATAAATATTATTCGTTGTCCTTCCCTGTAATAAACTTGAGTATTTTGTCTAAGAGAGGACCGGCGCTTCGCTTTTCCAGAATTTTGCCTGGACCGAACCTCACATATTACTTTGATTCGTGATAATGTATGGGATAAAAAAAAATCTCAAAGAGAAGAACAATAATTGAACGGAGGAATTCGGTTTGGAATAGATTGTATCGTCCCCTTGTTACGTCACATGTACGTGAAGAGCGAATTCTCGTATCAAGCTTATTCCAACTGTAGATGAGTGCTTCAGAACATGCATGGTACTAGTATGGGCCATTTACATCTGACAATTTTTATTTTGGATTTCTCAGCAATAGCTGTGAATTTTTAGTAATTTTATTCTATGTTGTAGGTAAAGGATTGGAAATTTGATTGATGGAACATTGGGTTGTGCCAATACGAGCAAAATTCTTGGAGCTCTATTTTAAATGTCTCTGTCGTGGAAATTCTGCGAGCATTCAAAGAGAAATTTTTGCCCCAAAGATGGCCCACGTCATGACACCATTCTCTTGTTCGTCAAAAATGTCAAGAAGGTAGTGTTTATCCATCCATGCACCAGAGACGTGCTACAGCGAGAAAACCAGAAACAATCGCTTCCGTAACCGCAGCAATGCAACAAAGTCCCGAGAAATAGACTCGTCGCTTTTCAGCTGAAAGTGGTGTTTGCAGAACAAGTATAAGACGTGTGCTTCGGGATTATCTTGACCTATGGTCATACAATATGACACAAATGAATTAGAATGATTTATTTTTATAAGGATCAGGACTAGGGACCAGTGGAACCAGTAGGGACCAGTCTTTTTGGAGGAAAATTTTACAAACCGATGGATGGAAGGGGGATTGTTCATCCTATCACCTCCCAGGTCCCCAGACCCCACCCCTATAGACTTCCAATTGCGGGGACTTTGTTAAGATTAGGGACATGTGTGTATGCCACACACACGAAGTGTGACTGAACTGCACATAAGCATTGGGAGATCAGTCAGGAACATCACACCTGCTCAATTGGAGGGAGATCTGGATATGTTCTCTGGGAGGTTGCATGCATGTTTTGACAAATATGTCGGACATAAGAAATTGTGAGATGTATGATTTGGTTTGTCATAAAAATGTACGAAATACCATTTCATATTATGCCTAACGCATGTTTCTATGCCACCTCGTTCCCAAAGATATACATACTAGAAACCCCTCAGGGACTTTCTGTAATCCCTGTACATATCGAGGAAAATCATGCTTCGGGATACGTTCCCTTGGAACATATGATTTTGAGAAGACGTTTTCTGATATTTTCTTGTTCCAGCAAAACAAAAGCATGAAGAAAGCTTACATATGGAAGCGATGGCCAATTACGACTCCTTGAAACCTTCTGCGCAACCCACAGGATCATTTTTTTCCTATCAGAGTTGAAGGGGTCTCATGGAGTCAGATCAACATATGAACTTCCTACTTTCAGTTCCCAAGACCAGAATTACCCTGGATCTACTTGGCTTGGGTTGCCTCTTTCGTCGTATTTCTCCAGGAATTCAAATGCCTTCCCTGGTGTCGTCCGAGGAAAAATATTAAGAACCCTTCCAAAAGTACTGGGGATGGTTGCATACATGAGATGACTTCCTGAGTTGGTGATTCGTCGTCATGTAACTTCGGGGTCATGAAACCTTCTTTATTCGAATGTCTCGTATGCCTCCCCCGACATGTGCTTATGCAATGTTGACCTGACAATATTCTGGCAATATTTATATTTTAAAATTATGTGCAAGTTGACTATGCATGGGATCATCAATATCAAAATCGTTAACATCTCGATCTTGAGTCAATATTGTTGGGCATACTGGGAAATTAAGATCCCTCGGGAAAACCAGTTTGGCTTTAACTATCTTTCATCATCCTCGCAAAAAGAACAATTTGGACGGCATCTTTCGGCTCGAAATGATGACTTCCGAGTGGCGACAGAAGGACAAGTTCATTTTAAGTAGGAATCATGTCAAGAGAAGAATGAAGACACTGAAGGAACAGAACTTCTATTCCTGCCACGGTGACAAGTCCATTCCCGGTCTCTCCGAACACGGCTGGAGCTCGTTCCTGCAATCATTCGAATGGCATCTCTTCTTCATTTAACAATGTGAGCATGGAAGAAAGGATAGGAACTTATTTCATCAGGAAGTAGAGCTGGAACGAAATCCATTCGTTTACATTCCAAATCCTGAGAATTGATTTGTAGCGTCAGTTGGCAATTAAAATCGATCCATAGTTTGATTGTAAAGTAGGAACTTGGTTTCTGATTATGCCTTAGTAGCAACTGAGATGCTCCATATTCTGGAATTCGAGCAACGTGAACGGAGATTTGGTTTGAACCCGCATGAATAAGCTCATATATATCCGATGAACGTAATTGAAATCGCTGATTTTCTATCATTCTCATTGATATGGTGCAAGCGATATGAGAGATGATCTTCAAGAAGAAGAACCAGTCATTCATATACGCCGTTTTTTAGTAGTGCCGTGGTACATGCCAATTTCTACCATCGAGTACACATAGTGGCACTGAAATGACACGTCAATGAGGCTTACCCGACTCCAACAGGGATCATGGCCCAGGTCTGAAGGGAGGTGGCATCCGTGTTGTCGCAGATGACATCGCTCATCCACCTGTTCATGATGACCCGTACCTGCTCCGGACTGAAGCTATTCTCAAGCCCGGAATGGGTGAAGAAGAAGCGATCCCCGTACTTAATTCGTCGGAAACCCTCCGCCACGTAGCACCCCATGGTGGGACCGATCATCGCGTCGTCTGCCAGGGGCTCCTCTAGGAACGCCGCGCTGGAGGCGTCCATGTCGTCGGGTTCCCTGGCGGTTCAGATTCTCTGTAGCACTCTGCCCGATTCGAGTCGATCGTGTTCCGAAAACGAAGGAAGTAAGAGAGAGGACAGACGTGTAGAGACTCCGGAGGATGCTCCAACTCTTCGGGGAGAGTTCTTTCGGCCTGGAATCCCAGTCCTTCACTCTGTTTGTGCCGCAAAACGTCCTGTAGTCGTTGTACCCGAGGATGCCGTGATCTCGGCCACGCTATAAATATATTCAATTGCTAAAATCGCAAATGATGGAGCATCTAAATCCAATGTAGGAGATGATGCGATGAATTTCCGTGCGAAAATTAGGCGTGCATACGAACCTGAATCGTCCTGGCCACGAGATCCTGACCGTAATCATTGGTGGAGAGTTTGAAGAGGTAATTCCGAATGGCGTCGGCAAAACTTGTATCGAACGACTGAGCATCCTGGCCTAAAAATAAATGGAAAATTCGGGACCCATATCGGCCAAGATCCGATTTTTATATCGACGACCCTCACCTGCCAAGCCGGCTAGAATGGCGGCGAGTCCGTTCTCGAGGAGGGGCGTGGCGTTGCCAAAGTTGTCCATGAGGAAGTAGGAACTCTCTTCCCCATCCGGAGAGAGCAGCAGGGCTTCGTTTTGCACCAACGAGTGACCGAATCTGCCACGAGAATGTCAGACATGTCCTTAATATATACCGAGGGTCCCGGAATTCATGTTGCTAATTCTTGTTGCCAAAAGGATGGCATCCGAACTGCTAGAATCGATGCAAAGTGCTCTCTCTCGCTTCCTAAGTAGTTACATCATGCAGTTTGAATTTCATTTCCGCGACTCTGTCACTAACATAGCATGGAAGCATGACACGCGTTTTTGGGTCTTTATCAGCGAATACAGGATCTTATTTTTAATGCATTACTTGATTTAAAGGTTTCTCACGCAGGCATTCCTTTCTTTAATTGAATGTGCTCTTTAAAAGTGAATGATGGCATGTTGCAATTGCAATGCAATTCGTAAAACATCCCCAGCCTGAGGCCATTTCGCATTCGGCGATTTTGAACCTCGATTGGCTAGTTTGTTACGTTGAGGAAAATTTTTGCATGTGTCAGAAAAGAAAATGGCTGGCTTTATGGGAAAATCATATTGGTGACCTGATGTAGACATGTAAAAGAAAAACGTTATCATGGTTATTGCAAGGACAAATATTCCCCTATTATTATGCGTAAGCAACCACTTTTTGAATTCATTCCATGCCAAGTATTCTGCAGATACTTTTTGAGTCACAGGGGTACGAAAAGATGGGGTCCATTGCAATCCGATTACAATCTGACTTTGTAATTATTCAGTAATCGGATTATTTAACGATTAGTTTTTCATGCAACCACCGTGCACTTCAGCAAATATTTGCCCTGGATCGAAGGTTGAGCCAACTCAAAATGGAAATCCATCTCAGAAACTAAAATGTGATTGCAGGTAACCGCAACGCGATCGGTTGGGTCGGAACCTCTGAGGACGGAACAGATCCTTGCCTGTAAGCGGAGGCACCGAATACGTTAAAGAGGCTCGGGTCCAAACTGGAGTCGTAGGTAGAGGGATAAGTCACTGTGAGCCCGTAGTCGTCCATGTGCGAGGAGCTTCCGAACACGACAGGAAGGAACTCTCCATAGTGGATATTCTGCAGTTCTGCTCCAACAATACGCCTGGAACGTCCGAGAGAAACGAGCATGACATGGTCGAATGAGGAAGCTGGTGATGGTCGAGTGGGAATAAAGTGAACCTGGCTTCTTGGAAGAGTCGCTCGTCATCCCACTGTGGATTCACCACCTTCAGCGCCTCTGCGAGTCTGTTGTGCTCCCTCATGAAAACTAGATCGAAGGAAGGGGATTTCTCAATTCCGCTCTTCCTTGGAGGGAGACGAGAGGAGGGTGGAAAGGATTCATACGGGTGTGGTGGCCTTGAAGTCCTGGGTTCTCCATCAATCGGATGTCCCCAGAGACAAAGTTTTGAGAGCCGTCGCCGAATATTTGGTCGCCCGTAGGGAGGAGCCCTGGATCGTTCGTGTTCGTCACCAGCTTCCCTGAAAATGTCATATATAAGTGGAATAATTATGTCAGGCAACGTCATCCTCCATTCACTGCAGGATGACAGTGGCACGGCTTCAGCGATGGTGGGATGGGTGTTGAAAGGCGGGTTGCAGTATGGGGTGGGGGCAAAGTGGATAGGAGTACAGTGGAGAGGAAGAGGCAAGTGAGAGAAATGAGGTGGGGGAGGGTGTTATCTTTCCCCACTTCTCCAAAGAAATATCCAATTATTAAAGGACTAAATTATTTACAAAAAGACCGTGGGGTATTCCATAATGGAAACGCCACCTAGGAAATTCCATGAATCTCAATTCCACAAAAGTGAGGAGGCCGAAAAAAGAAAAAGAAAATAAAGAAGTACAAACCGTCTTGAAAGCTTCTGAGTGCCATGACCCACTCTTCAGAGGATCCATATATGCTGGAACCATCTATGAACGCGGTGATCATGTTTATCTGCTCCCGCACTTCTGCAAATGATAACGGGGAAATACCGTGATGTAATTGCAACTTTTGCATCAATGCATCTCATATCCAGGTGCTCATGCAAAAAAATTAGCTAATCCATCCATATAGCTCGGTCCCATTAAATACGTTTGCATTCTAAGAGAAATTGCACCAGCTGGTCCTCATGCATACGCTATCTTGGAACAACCCTGCAACAATTTCGGAAAATTCGAATTCTTCATCGTAAAAGATTCCGACAAAGAGAATGGAAACCTACATTCCTTTAAGAGTCTGAAAAATTTTCCTGCATATCCTCGGATATTCCGTTTCATGTGGTTCGAAGTGTTTTTCAGCCTTTACTCTGAAATATTACGAATGAAGTTTTTCCTCGTGATAACAAGAACATTTCCGTATTGACAGGTTCTGGAAGCTTTTCAAGGAAGAGGTTTCATTTTTTTTTACCCGAGTCATAAAGGACTCCCGCTCACTCCAGAATTACTCCGAACAATCAAGACATCATGATGCTACAGGAAACAGTTTGGATTGGGAGAAAGTCTATTCCTGTGAATGTCCCAAACCAGAAAATCGGAAATTGAAGAGCCGTCTCCATCTTTCAAAAGTAACTTCTCTGAAACAATGCGTGCGCCGCTTAAGATAAATTCTTTGTATTACCTAGGTGACGGCAGCTCACAGGAATACAGTTGTACAATATATACAGGGTGTTCCGAACATTTGTGATCCACTAAAATGAAGATGGAGACGAGATTGACGGGAATATATCGAATTAATTACATTCGAAATGGCCAAAAATACCTATGGTACCAACTCCTACATCAATGCTTGATGTGATTTCTGCGGACCCCAGAAACCTTGGATAAGCGTCCCGACCGACGGACGACGCTCGTCACGTTTGTATCTCACTTCACTTAAAACCCTGATGATGCCAGATCCCTGATTCACCCTAAACATTTCCAAAACCTTGTTTGGAAATGTTTAGGATGAAGAATCGTAACCTTTGTGCATTTCCTGCATTTCCCCCCCAAGTTCCACCCCATCCCACCCCACGCCTTCCCATACCACCCCCTTGAGCGATTTCGTAACTCATTTTGACGATTTTGTGTATACAGGAAGGCACGCTCACCTCCCGCGCAGTAAGGAGTGGACCTGTGGAAGGGCATGCAGGTCTGAGGTACGAGTACCTGCGAGTAGAAAGGGTCGTCCGGGGGGATGGCGATCGGCAAGCACTCCAGGGGGATCGGCTCCTCGCAACACGGTCCCGCAGCTGCCGGTCCACGAATCATTCAATATTCCTTGGCTTCTAATGCGTGGGATTGTTATGAGGGCAGGGAGGGGTTTCAATAATCAATAACTTTTTAACTACTAATATTACAGATGGTAAAAAAAAGGGGTCAATGCCATTAGCATTTTTTATTTTTAAAGTTATTTTTTCACTGGTCAAAACTTCACCTCACACTTAGTATGAACTTCAATTTCAACATCCTGGAAAATGCAGTGTTCGATTCTATTCAAAATGGATTGAACATTTTTCTTAATTTCATGCAGTGTGATTTGATGCATCATAATCTCGATACGTGCTTCCAGTTCAACTAAATCTTGAGGACGAGTTGCATAAAAGACACTTGACATGACCCCATACAAATAAGTATAAACGATGAAGTGAAGGACTATGCAAATTCACCTCCTCTCCCATTTTCAGGAAATTTTTCATTCTAAAAGTTCAGCTAACGCAGTTTACAGTCGTAGACCCTTTTGATTTATCTGTAGCAAAATAAAACAATTAAGGTTTTAAAAAATTACCATCAAGCTATATAATGGTATTGACAATTTCATTTAACCGCGAGTCGAGTGCCTGCAGAATTTGAAACAAAACGGGCCTACACCAATCTCACAATCTCGCATCCAGGAACTTTTCGGCCTATCTGACCGAGAATCCTGGTGCGTTAGCCTAAGGCGCGAGGCCTATTATTGACTATTGTTGTTCCCACTAGCATATCACACCCATAGAATAGGAAGAAGACAATACAATCAGCAGGCGAAAGGGTGATGTCGTGATCCAGGAACTGTCCCCACTGCATGAGCATATGCGTCGCCACCGTCGCGGGCCGGTCCGAGTCGCCGTGCAGCCGCGACGACACCTCTCGCGGATTGGGCAGGATGGACAGGCGGGGTCCGGAACCTCGGGGGATCGAGATACCTAGGGTTCCAAATGGAGACTTTCAGGTTCTCAATCGGTTCATTTAATGGGTGTTTACAGTACCGGCTGGGTCAGAAATAGTCATACCACTTTTAACTATTATTTTTCTATATGCTTAAGAACATAAATTTTAAAAATGTATTGTACCTTTATGTGAGTGTCCACCATGTCCGTCCAATGCGATCGACCGGCAGACTCAAAGGTCAAGAATAACTATTTTGTGAGTAATTACCGTGAGACCTTGTGTCGTTTTGAGACTCAATTGATTCCATGAGAAGTTATTAAAACTAGAAATACATGACTTCGATTCGGTGCGAATGATCCCCCTTGTATTTTAACGAAGCGTTACAGAATCATGATATATTTTAGATTCCTGTAGAGGTAGGACAAAGGAAAGTAAAAACCGGAGATATTACATAAATATCTGCATCATGGATGTACTGTTAAAACATTCCAGACATTTCCGATTCTTCATCGTAAAAATTTCCGAATAAGAGCATGTACCGTAAACCTGCATTTATCTCATTGCCAGCTAAAAATTCCCGGCATATCCTCGTAAATCTCATTTAGCCCCTTAAATGGACTCGCCGCATATGTGCGGTCTGGCACCTGCCTTCTCTCAATGGACTCACCGCACATATGCGTTCAGAAAGTTCCCAGTTAAGGGGTTAAGGTTGTTCCCTGAAAATTTCCAAGTCATCTCTGAAATTAGGGAAAGCTCAAATATGACGGAAAATGTCCTGGGAAGGCACGAAAAATGACCTTTCAGATACTTTATAATGTATTCATAAAACCACCATTTTTCTCTCAGCCCATCAGGCCGGCTAAGAGCCTGATTGGTGCCTCAAAGCGAACGGGGAAAAAAAAACGATTCCGACTATTGGAGCATTTCTATGTGAGAATATGGTAAACTTTGTTTCCGCTCTGAATCGGAATTCCCTTCGCATACGAGATGGAAACTCTGCTTCCTATGCCTTAGTCAGAATTATCCGAGTATTTTTTTGCAGTCGATGAACATGCTTGTGAATCATCATAGAAAACCAATTTTGGGTGAACCCAGTCACCATATGGTTTGCAAGTATTGATATCAGGTTCATCAGGACTGCAGAAATTTAGTTTCAATTTCTTGATGTCGTTATCTGTTGAAACTCTCCTGATGGAGACGCGCGCTAGTCATGAATTTATTTGTGTATTTTAGTTTGCTTCATGAGAAAGCAATATATTTGCTCCACAGATAGTAAAAAGATTGGAGTATAAGCAATGAGACTGTGTACCATCGTCGTAAGCGTTGCTATTGTTGACGCGACGATAGTATATCTCCGCGGACCCCCAGTAGATGGCATCAGGATCGTCCCCCTCCGCGAGGTTATTGCACACCCCGCTGTAAGTGGGGTATTTAGGGTCAAGAGAGTCGCAGTCGGGTTGGACGCCGGAGCAGCTGGCGGGCGGTGCTCCGGATCGGGCCAATTCGTCCCTTTCCCAGGGCAGCATCTGCCTTCTCACGAGGTACTCCGCTTCCCGTCGGGGGAGGTCGAGCCTGTGCGAAGAGGAGTCATTCCATCTTCATGATGGCTTTACTGGGAATTTACCGTTGTTCTCACTTTTGCTCCAGGATGGAGGTGGCGAGGCGATTGATGCGGGCCATCTTTCCGATCTCGCGGGATCGTGGGGTGCTTTTCACGTAGTAACTCGGCCTCTCTATTGTTGCCCCTGCCATCATGAGGGACTCCATCTCCCTCTCCCATGCGTTCTCGGCTTCCTGCATCGGATGACATCAATTACTTCCATTTCAATAAAACATAGAGGAATGTCAAATGTTCTCCTCGAGAGTGGTAACATTCGGCTGCGGAAATGAGAAATACAAGAGGTGCCTACGAGAAACTCACCTTGATGGACTCTCTCGTGGCGTCCAAGAGGGAATCCCCTTCAGTTCCATCACCCACCACGAGCGAGAACGTGAGCGCAAGTATCACTATTCCGAATCTGCAATGATGATATTTAAGTGGCCTTCAGCAAAATTTCTCATTATGTTTTAATCACAAGGAATCCCCCAGTCATGTTGAGCTCAGACAAGAGGAATCAACAGAGTAAAAACATCCTCTTACAAAAATGTTACAGGCGACTGGCAAGTAGCTCACACGGAAGTTCTGGGCAGACGTTGTCATTTACGGGGGAATTGACTACCTACATTGTAAAACGAATGGTTTGATCTAGAATCCTAGGATGACTTTATGTTTTCAGAGCGGGTTTCTGTGATTGAGTAAACATTTGAAATGGTGTTGAGCTCGCTTCACAAACTAATTGATATAACGACGCATAATAACAACTCCGCAGCTCTTGAAAGGGGCTCTGCACGAGCCTCTGTCTTCTGATCTCAAGATTATTTTTTTTCACCATATGTTCTCAATTGTTACTCGTGGGAGTGATCGTGTGAATGTTCCAGATAATGGCATTGCTTATCCGCCAGGAAAATCCATGAGATCCTTGTAGTTCCAGGAATGATGGTTCTGTTTCGGCTCTTGTATGTTTGGCTTCAAGAGAATGGCTCAATAAACGTTTCACCAAAAACGCTACAAAACTAAACCTTTAATTTTAGAGAGCATAACCATTCTTCATTGCATTTGCTTTTAAACAATTAGAGCATTAACGTTCATAGAATCATCACAAACAATATCGACCGGAGTATTTTTATCTTATGTCTTGATGTCTTAGGCATTCTCCTGCTTCAATACTTACATATGACAATATTTAACTAGTAATATTTGAATAGGTCTAAAGACCTACTCAAGCACAAATCCTGCGAATGGATTTGTGCGCTGGATTTCAGCATGTTCAACAATTTCAATTCAAATTTACACGAAAGCCTGCTTTTCACCTTTGAATGCCGCATCAACACCATTGAACGATCCCACTTTGCTGAGGAACATTGAGAAGCGAAAATGAGAGAAAAGGAAAATGTGGCTGAGGTTGCCAAGAAGGCCATGAAACGTCATTTACAGGAATCTAAGCGAACCACGTGTAACATGAAGCTCATTCTCGAAAGAAGTAATACATGAAGGAAAAAGGATATGGTACTAAATATATCGAAAGACCAGAAGAAACAAAGAACCACAAAAGCAATATTGCCTCTGATCCACAAACTAAGAAAATGTAGGATTCCATGGCCCCAATTTCAACGTTTTTACTCAAAGCACTCCTAAGTGCGATGCTATTCAAGAGGACAAGTGTGCTGTTATAATCAAAGAGTTTGTAGGCATTCGATTAATGTGCAGTAAAATTAAATTCTGACTACAATCATATTATCACTAAAGATGATGAACAGAACCAATCCCCCCCCTCAAAGTTGTTGAGCAGCATCGGAAAGACTTTCAAACCCGGAAAACTCAACACTCCATAAGTATCGTGCAGAAACAGGGAAAACAATGAAACCTTGGCCCCTGAATCCCCCCCCCTTACCAATAAGGTGCAGTAGTTCCTATTTTGAAACGTACAGATTGAGACCGTAAAATCTTCAACTTCGGAAAAAGTTATTTTTTTTAATGACTCTATCAACGATCGTAACAGGCAATTTTTCTTTAAATTTTCCTCATTAATGCTTCCGTTGAAAGGCGAATTTCACAGTGGAATCGAAAGCTTCTTCAGACTCCAATTGATACATAACGCTGCATGAATCTCAGAATCTGCTCAATAATAAATCAATACCGATGGACGCTCGAAAAGCACTCACAGTTTGCTGTCCATGTCGCCTGCCCCGACAATCCACCATTAGTGCATTTCGACGGGATGACGGGGCCTTATATAAGTGCAGCTTCCAGGATATTACCTGGTTAGATAGACCGTTTCTGGGAATTTGGTCCCTTCCCGAGGATGTGGAGGCAGTCCCGGTGCGAAAACGAGCACGTGGCATCCGTCTGGCCCAGACAATGATGTCTGTTCCGGCACACGTGCTCCAAGTCACGTCTTCGACGGAAACGAGATTTTCCTCCAATCGTTGATATCTCTCGTCACCTGGTCGTCGTTTCCACCAGCTTCGTGGCGATGACGATCAAATTTGGATCGATTGGGGACATTTCCACTGGTGTTCGGTTCTTTTTCTTACTGGAATGGAACTCCGTTCGCATTCATACGAGGATCGTTGATGAAGAACTGAAGGTTAAAAAAGAAATGCAAGGAAAAAAATTTAAATGCTTAAAAAGGAATTTGAAAACTACATGTGAAAGTCTTCCCCTTTCTTCTGCCCCTTCTCTACGAGGGTTCTGGAAACATTGGAGACTCGGAAGTGCCAGATCTTTCGGGGCTACGCGCTTACCCATGACCATGTACCCTCTATGGAATTCAACAACGTTTAGACTTTGGTCCGGCCGTCGGACTGTCTTTAGGTCAGGCCGAGGCCTCCCTGTTTTCTTTCAAAAGAAACTCAATCCTTGACTAACGGGGACAAATAGGCCCATGGGGGTCAATCCCGTGGTCTTCGAGACATCTCCTCGGTAACGTGTAACGTTAAGCAGGTCGCAGGCCTCTTCAGACTCCCACGAACCATTTCAGAGAAGAAGTGTAACGTTCGTCCGATTGGAGGCTCGTTCCGAGTTCCATAAACCATTTCAATGAGAACGTAGAAACGTCCGGAGTTCCTCGAACCATCTCGACTAGGTCTGAGGAGAGGATGTCTCGGGGAGGCACGAAATGCGAGGTGGGCACCATCCCGGTAATTCGTGGATGAGATACCTCCACATCCCATCCCGTCGGTCGGCCGCTGCTAACCGCCGTTTCATTCTCGGCTCGTCCCATAACCGCAGCAAAAAAATGTGGCATGCATTGAGAAACGAGATTCACGATCTTAAAAACGTAAATTTCGCGTGACATTTACTCTAAAGTTCCTTCCGTATTTAAATGGAATTTTAAACTTTGGAAGGGGTGCGTCACCTTTGCAGCGATTTGAATCATTTTACATTAACGTTGTAAGAAAGTTACCTGGATGTCGTAATCCCTGTTAAAGAGATTACGACGCTTAACCACTTGTCAACTTTTTCCTTAGATTGTCTCATAAGAAGCGCTCCAAATGAAGGTTATGCCAACGAGAAAAGTTACCTACGCTGCAACAGCGGCACAGGTCAGCCCGAGAAGGAATGAGAGGATATCACAAAAGGAAATATGAGAATCCCCTAATTCCCAGTCGTAGGAATGGACCTGTGGAATACTGTAAATAGATGCCTACATCACGTACGCACAAAGTCGGCGCTTCGCGAGATGTCCCAGAGTCGAGTGTATCAGAAATCCCCCATGATCGCAAGAAGTGGACATTGACGACTGTTGCACCCCTAGTTCGAGAGGCCGAAAAAATTTTCATTCGCCAGGAAACGAAGGGGAAGAAATCCCGGAGTGAGTCCTTCGAGCAGAGCACTACCCTCGGCGCGAAGACAGCGCCCCGGCCTTGACCTTGACCCTTGGTGTTTGTTCGTTTCAGATAGAAATTTCGTGAAGTTGCGAGAAAATTTGAGCTGGGAGAGCCTGCGTACCAAATGAACTTGCATTTGAATCATCCGTTAATTTATGTTGAAATGTCTCCGCCACTTAATTCTGAGCCGTAAAAACGAGCAGCTTCATATAGGGTGAGGAGCACTAGGGAACCGAATCTTTCCCTATATTCAATTCCCAACAAAGTACGAGTTATATAAATATTCATAACAAATTATAAATAGTATGGCCACACTTCCCAACTAAATATGACGCGAATGATCGAGGAACGTGGACCGCGATCATGGCTGAAGGTGTATTTCCCCGTTATATACAGTTATATTTAAATGCCTGGGTTGATGAAGAGATTTTCATCATTCCCATCATTCTACATATATATTGGGTGTTAACATAAGTAGTGTCCGTTTTTTTCAAATTTAAAAATGTGTGCCAAAAGTAAAACACATTGGCAAAGGTTATACGTCATTTGAAAGAAAATTTTCTGCTCCACAAGATATTGTGTTTGCCTTTAGTTACATTTATTATTTTATTTAATTACAGGTCTTCGAAATGGAATGTCAAGTAGACAAAAGTGAGCACTTTCGACACCTCCTTCTGTTCGCGTTCAATCAAGGGAATAAAGCTGCTCAAGCTGCTCGCGATATNGACTGTGGGAAATAAAAAGTATTTCCTTCATTTCTCCCTTCCTCGCATTGGAAAATTGGCTCGAGGCCAAAAATCAAGTTCAAATCTTCAAAAAGCAAGATTCAGTGCTCCACAATGGTTTAGAATGGTTTTCGAGGTTTTCAGCAAGTAGAGGAGGCAATAAAGATGATGATCGGTGCGGCTATGTCGCGGGTCAACGATTGGCGCCGGTTGGGGTTTTGGTGGATATCAATCCGAATCTGAATCTGGAATAAATGTCACGAAATAAACTCCGAGATGATGTGGATTATTTTCCCCAATGGAGAATCATTATCTTATCACTGGGGCCTGTTCCGTCTCCGCTATTTCGAAATCCCCCAGAAACCTGTCCAGGTGTTTCTTGTGTGGCCCAATTCGTATCTTAGGGCTCCCCAATGTCGTCGAAAAATCGTTATTTTTAGAAACCAGGAAAGACAACGACCAACGCTGGAGAAGCGACTGGCTTCTTTGAGCTGCACGGTTGCCCCATTTCATTTCGATTAACTTCCGCTTCCGTGCTGCGTAATCCTAGTAGCACATAACATTGATTCAACATTGATTCAACGCCCGGATGTTGAATCAACACTGAATCAACGTTGAATCAACGTTGAATCAACGTTGTTTCAGTGCTATGTGCTACTAGGGAAGGAAGCCATCATCCGAGGAAACACTTTCGTCGCCGATTCATTTAATTGCTAACGGTTGATGGACCACCGTTCCTGGCTGCCCAGTGATGAAACCCGATCTTCTCATGAACGCCTAAAACGAACGTTGAACGACCTTGAGCAAACCGATTTTTCGCAAAGATGCTACTTTTCCCCCCACGATATCCACTCGCGATTCATCTGCAGAAATTCAATAAATGTTTCTCGCGAGTTAAACTTCTCGAGCGTCTGCCGCCGGTGTGTTGAAGCCGTGAAATCCTCGTAACAGGCGAGTAACGAAAATCCGCGAAACTAAATTGCTTAAAGTTGCATTAAAACTTGATTTTTGGCCTCGAGCCAATTTTCCAATGCGAGGAAGGGAGAAATGAAGGAAATACTTTTTATTTCCCACAGTCTTACTTGGAAATTTCGAAATGCAGTCGACTCCGCATAATGGAATACTCACGGGACCAGGCATTTCGTTCGATAATCCGGATTAATTCTAATAACCCACGCTATCCCGTTGCATCGTAACGTAAATCAGGACTGCGCATTGGTACTCTTTGGAGCAGAGCAGAGTATTTTATTAGGCAGAGTCAATCATATCGCAAAAAATCTCTCATCGTTTCGAGGAATTTACGACGAAACATTTCAAAAAAAGAAAATAATTTCCATATTTGGACATTTCCCGTCAGTCCCATCAACCGCGACAAGCGTTTCAAATTTCAAAATTCAAAATTCAAATTTCTCTTCGACTGCTTGCCTTTTCTCATTTGCTTCAGTCCTCAACGCCCCGAACCCGATTCAACATTTAGAGGGAATGGTCTGCTCCCCGAACTCACCTGAAACGTCATCTCACGATTGCGATCCATCGACCCGATACCCGCTCTCTCGGTGAAATTTCGGAAGGGAACATTTCTCGCACTCCTACGAGAGCCAAAAAAAAAAATCCGCGACTGAGCGTAGAAGCGAGCAGGGGAGGGGAAGCGGGATTTTCCTGGGGAATTCGCACGGCACCATCCGGCTTGGGGATAGAAGTCCGTTTCCCCTCCTGTAATACAGATAGAAAGGTGCCCGGTGATTTGGATTTTGTTTCGTTTCAGGTCCTTACTCGTGCGGACGAGCCGAACAGGAGGAACAAGTCGATCGATAATGTGTTGCGTAGGAATGTGAAAACCAATTTTCAAAGGTTTACCTTCCTTCAACCTCAACCCAACCTTAACCTCAACCTCACCCTCACCCCACAAGTTCCGGATACTGGCAGGAAATGACACTTTTATGAATGGAGCTTCAAGTTTGCTGGAGTGATTCTGTGTTGGGAGAGAAAGAAGTGTGCCAAATTTCATTCACGTCGATGCTCTCAGAGAGGAATACGAGACGGTTCAATTTCGTCACCGGAAGGGGTTGAAGAAAGGTAATACCAGAGCCCATTCATATTCGATGCATCATGCCCATGAGTGTCATGATCGCGATTGCATCTGCCAAATCTGATGAAACACGAATGAATGAAAAATATGAAATTTAGAGGTGCGTGAGGCAGAACAGGACAGAGAAGAATGCGAGAGGAGAATGAAAATGGAAGGAATTCCTTAAATACTCAAATCCAAAAGGACTCAATGGAATGAGAGAAAGACAACAAAGGGACTAAGGGGTCATTCCATACGAACTAAGCCAATATTAATGCATAAAGATAAACTATCGGAACTCTTTTCCCATATCGATCGCGGTCGTGTCCGGATCGGTCGTGAAGTCCATCTCCACCAATTTTCATGTAGGCTTATGAGTGTGTATGACGGCCCACGACGCGGCCGGTTCCAATTATAATTTTGGAAGTATCCACTTTGTTCCCAACCACGTGTTCCTCCTATTGGATCTCATCCAATTACATCGGCCGTTACATAATATTAGGAAAAGGGAATTCATCCTCCTCGAGGGATACAAGTGCCTCCGCCGTCTTGGGACTGGAGTCGAAAGGGGCAATGTATAGCATGATGGGGGGGGGGGGTGTGCCGGTGTATGGGATCCTGGGCATGGAACCCAGGGCAAATTGCCTCTTTTGTCATCCCATCTCTTTGGGCTTACTATCAACTCCCTCGTGCTACCCCAGTTCTAAGAAGGCGGAGGTGCATAGACTCGCCGCCCCTCTCGTTAGGAGACAGGTGGGAGAGACCTCTCCATTGTGTGCTCCCTTTGGTGACGCTTGACCACCGGAGTTCTGCGAGACTATTTCTGCATCTTCGCGAAGGAGGTGAAGCTTTCCTTCCCTCTCTCCCCAATTCCCTTCCAATTTATTGTATGTCCTCCCAAAACAAAAGGAGTACCTCGTATGTATCATTTTCTGCTGATATTGTTTCTCTTTTTCTTCCTTATGTTAGGCCCATCCCTGTTTATTTTTTTACCGCTGGGCCTAGGTCCACCTAGCGTTATGTGTATGATGGTCAAAGTGATTCATCGCCATCTCCATAGCTTATTGTATTACATTTTCACTTCCCTAACCAAATTGAAATTGATTAGAATCATTCCCTACCGTAATATTGTGGAATGTTCACTGGCATGTGGGCCATGTAGGAATCTCAGCAATTTTCCATGAGGGTGTTCTTTATGCCCGGTCACGCCTCTGATCCCAGTCCGACCAAGTTGTGCATGGCTTCCTCATTTAGTACAAACCCCCCAAAGAAGTCTACATTTTAGGGGGTCTCTGAAATACAAAGTTGTATAGGGACACCATGCTACTAAATACAATTTCCGTTCCATCACGGAGCGAGTCTGTTTGCCGGAAGGGTAAACAAGCTCGTTAGTATATAATATTCTGTTCAAGGCAGTACCAGGTCAAATAATCTGAAATGAATATATTGGGAAGAGATGACGATGCATGGTATCTCCATGTATTCGTACCGGACTGCGTTATCACTTTCAAAGCAACTCATTTGCTTATTTTGCTAATAGAACTTCGCATTTTATTCAAAGAAAGAGGTGTTCAAATAAAACAACAAAATATCCGCGTGGACAACATTCAATGTGAAGTATGAACTATCTCTCGTTTGACCTTGCTTAGAGGAAGAAAGAAGCTTCGCCTTGACGTAGTAAAAGCATTGGACTCGTGAGGGAGCGACATTCGGATGGTCATGGTTGAACACTGCGCTTGGGTAAGGTAATCCCAATTTCGTTGAAGGTTCGATCCAAAGACTCATCGACGGTCATGGCGAAACCCAGCCGAATTGGGAACTGACTGAGCTTCAGAGTGAAGGGCAGGTTCACGTCAGAAGGACCAAGGTCAAGCATTGGTATGAGGACTCGTTTACCCTTCGTGTCTCCAGTCAGGACTTCAGAATCGTTGATGTTATTCATCATGCGACGGACGATCAAGCACGTCCCGTTGCATAGCCTTCGAAAGAAATGTCAATTCCCTGAAAGAGCGTAGCGCAGTTGGTTTGACATCTTCACAGAGAACTCCTACACCACGAATTCTTTCTTACTTTTTCTTCCATACGATCCATTCCCATGAACCCACCGTCATCGGATCATGGGTGTTCCCTCCTTTGAAGCGGAAAAACTCCAACTCTTTCTCGGAGTGGAAGTTGGGATAATCATTGGCCAGGAACAGCGGTCTCGGTTCGCTGATCGAGACCTCTACTCCGAGACAAGATTAAGTTACATGCAGTGCGTTCGTTCTGGAGATGCCACCCAGAATGTGATCGGTAGAGGGAATATCCCCACACCCTAAATGTTTTGACGGGGAGGGTACGATATGCAGATGCAGACCTACTCACGAGGGCGTCTCCCCCGGGCGTCGGAGTTCATGCCAAGAAAGTGCCAATATAAAGTGAACGAATGAAGACAAGGATGAGTTTCGTTTCAGAATGTCCTACTGTAAATCTCGAGGAAAATGTTAAAAGTTGGTTGGAGTGACAGCTCACCAGCTTTGCGAGTGCCATCCCGGTTACTCTAGCCTCAGACGAGAGTTCATCGTATCCCCAATGCTGCCCCGGACGCAGGTTCGGATGATCATTTGCCATTCACTCACCAGTTCTACCCTTCATGCAGCGCCTGACAGAAAAATATTTACAGCGGGATCATCGTTCCTTGCTCCCCTTTTCTTACTAGAAATATTGAATCTCCTGTTTGTTCTGATGCACGATACATATTTGCGGACAGACATAACAGAGACAGAGGATGAAGAGGGGTGAAGATTAACGTGTATCATGAAGGAAAGGATGTGGTTAGTCACCATCTGAATGGACCGACCAAGATAGCCGTTCACGCGCACAGTAGACGTCGAACTATTAAGTGTGAGGAAGATGGAAGAAGGTACCAGGGACCGCACGACGAAAACATGCTCCAGCTCCAAATTCTGGATATTTGTGAGTTTTTCCTAATATTCATGAGGCACATCTATCGAAGAGAACGCAGCGACACGGAGTGCGTTTCTGTCTCTAGGTATTTGGGACCGTGGCAGTGACACTGTTCCGAGTTGCACAGGGCATGGGTTGGGCGCTGCGACCGGGTGAGAAGTGGGAAAAGTACTCCGTGGAGACAAACCCGGATAGGAGCAACGTGATCGTCGGGACTCTGGTGGGGTTGTTCGTCTCCAACCTCGTCTTCTCCGCCGCTTGCCTCCTCCGCCTTGATTTCGCATCCATCGTGAGTTTCGCGCGGAGATCCACGACTGATATTGGATGTGTGGGGAGCTCAACTTTTCAGATATTTCGGACAGTCTTGAGATGTAATGCAGCACGGCCATCGTGACGTAGTTCTTGATGGGTGCGGGTATTTTATGTAAGGTCGCAAAGCACTATCACGTACCACCATTGAAACGTTACAAACAATACGGTTCCCTCTTTAAAAAAAAAAAAAAGAAAACTGACGTTCTACGAATTCTTCTGCGGAGATGTCGTCCGGCCAGCCCCATCACTTAATTTGCCTGCTCGTGATGCATTGTCATTTTCTCCCTCAGTGTAGCGCCCAGTTATGAACAGAATATTTTCATGAATGTTTTCCAAACGAATCCCTACCATATCACAATATAGAATATTGCGGACGTATTTTGTTTCTGTGTGTTATAATTTCTTTTAGATCGTTTAAAGCAAACCCAATGGTAACAGTAGCTTATTTAGGAATCTGAGGTATGTTTATTTTCTAACAATATGAAACCAAATCGAAAATTAATTTTTTTTTTTTAGTGGCTCATCTACCATTTTTCCGTAGTAAGGACTGATTTGAATAAGTTCTCCCTGATTTCATCCTGCAGGAGGCTCTACACGGAACTTTGTGCGCTTTTCTCTACACCGCCACGGGGTTCGGTCTCATTGACAACGCGAAACACACCAATTCGCTCAACGGAGAGAGTTTCGTCTTCGCTTCCGGATTCGTTTGTCTTCTCCTCGGCTTCTCTTACGCCGCGGTTGTCTTGTTCTTCGCTTGGAAGGAGCTCTTCGGAGCCATCCGCGAGTGTCGCTATTGACTTGTGTAGCAGCGCGTTTTCTTCTTTTTTTTCTTAAATAATGATGATACAAATAAAACAAAAACGTCAATCAAACGTTTGATTCGAAGACAATTCTCGACGTTAATTTTTCGGCAACCACTTACCTGTTCTTCTTTTTCAATCAATCGAATGAAAACTGTCATTTCACACAACTCATTTCATGTAGTGGACGAAGTTAAAAATAAAAGTTGACATCTTAGTCGAATGATTCGGACGAATCAAGAATGAAACAACGAAAGATGAGTCGCCCGTGTTTCATGCGGGCGAGTCTGTTTTGACATGGACGACGTCGCCCGCATCAGTGACGGGAAAATCACGGAAGTGGTTAATTGACGTGAAGTACAATTTTTCCGCTCCAGAAGAAGAATCCAAAAGAAGATGATGAATAATTTTTGCGAGAAATGTACGAGTACAATCATGAAATCCGAGGAAACTGGTTGCCTATCAACATGGAATGTTCCGCATTATGAGGCGAACATCTTGCAAACTTCTTAGCCATTTGAAAAAAGCCCCCCCCCCCCCCCCCAAAAAAAAAAAAAAACACTATAATAAATAAATGGAAAATATGGAATAAATACGATATTTGGAAGATCTACCGCCGTGCCAAGGGAAGACTGAGAGCAAAACATGAAGCGAAACGAAAAGATGGTAGACTTCGTGAAGATTGGCATGAATGTATTCGCAGAGAAAGGTTTTTCCTTATTTTTAATGTCACCCCATATAAACTTCTTACGTCGGATATTTGAACCTGGAATTTCCGGTAACACTCTTTTTTAAAGAAAGGTCAGACGTTTCTAGTTAATGCTAGTCCGTGTTATTGGCAAGATTTGTTACGTCTTCCTCTTGTAATATCGCGAGTAGGGGTCCTACATTGCATATCCTACCTTTAGGAGAAGGTTTTTATATTTCAGTCGGAAAAGTTGTTTCCACTGATCCCCGAAAGTACCATGTATTGCGATTCTAGGATTGCTGCTTAACGCGCAAATGGCTAAGAAGTTTGCAAGATGTTCGCCTCATAATGCGGAACATTCCATGTTGATAGGCAACCAGTTTCCTCGGATTTCTGGCCCGAATAATAGAGGTACTCGTCTGAGACCTAAAAGTGCCACAAATATGATCTAATTTGACAGGAACTATAGGCTTGATTCCCAACACGATAGCTGTTTCGTGCCGATGGTCCTGCCGGTAGAAGAAACGAAGAGCATTGTGGACTCGGTGAGAAAATATCTATCAAACGATGCGCGCGCTACTCCTATGTCGAACGGGTTATTACCTTCGTCGTGGATATGAGCTTGCGACTGAGTATAGACAGATGCTGCCCTCTCGGTACGACAAGGGTAGTAGTAAGCTACTACGAGTGATGTCTCTTTCGTTCCTTCAGCTGGTCCGGACAGTCGGAGAAAGGTGAGAGAGGGCAAGTAAGTCAGGGTAAGTCAGGTGAGTGATGGTAAGAAGAGGGCAAGTGAAAACCTTTTCAAACCGACCTTTTCAAAGAGCCATGAAGCATCTCTCTACCTTGACTATATCCAAATTTGTAACGATTTTAAGAGATTGGGATGCCACTGCGTCACAAAATAGACATTCTTTCATAACCTCTGTATCTCGAGATCCTAATTGATTGAAGAGGAAAATGTGCTGGATATCTGACTTTCTCAATAGTACGGGGTTTAAATTTAATCAAAATCGGAGGCAATTCGGTTAATTGATTTGACATGGATTGACTCTTATCCTAAATATCCTATTGCTAATGGCAGCGATACCGAAGTTTGATACGATGGCCATATTGCCGTTATGGTCCAGAGAAAATCATATAGGGATATGACTTGATTAAGTCTCATCAAACCCCCAATGTGTTACCTAACCGGGGTCAAATTTTTACTTTTTAGTGACAAAACTGCCAAAAAAAGTTATAGATATCCCAAGATTATTTTTGGCGCACATGCTTTTTTTGCTGAAATTAAAGAGGCGATATTTTTGCCTTTTGATTTTGACTTTTGATTTCCTCGCAACGTCGTATTTTTAACGATATTATTTTAAAAATCTAATGTCATCAGAAGACGCAGGAACAGACCTTTCCGAAGGGCCAAAGGAATGAATGGGTTCCCATGAGATGAAATGGCAGATCTTTCAAATGTATTTGCAACTTTTAAATGTTATATTGAAATATTCCCGGGCATCAAAGTAGGGTGTTCTGTGGTGCAGGATGAACTAGTACAATGGCCGCGATGAGAGATGGTTACATCATATTATGAAAAGGGAATTCATTCCCCTCGAGGGATACAAGTGCCTCCGCAGTCTTGGGACTGAATCGGGAGAGGGAATGGATGGCGTGATTGGTTTGTGTGCCGGCATGTGGGCCTCCGGGCAAGGAGCCCAAGGCAAATTGCCTCTTTTGACATCCCCTCTCCATGGGCTTGCTATGAACTCCCTCGTGCGACTCCCTCTCCCTAGCTTATTGTATTAAATTCTCATTCCCTTAACCCAATTCAAATTACTAGAATCATTCCCTAAAGGCATCTTGTGGAATGTTCACAGGCATGTGGGTCATGTAGGAATCCCATAGACAACTTCCATAAGGGTTTTCTTTATGCATGGCCACACCTCTGATCCCAGTCCGACCAAATTGTGAATTTCTTCCACATTTGGTTCTGGAATGGTCATAGGCTGAGTGGCGTTTCAAATCCCCCCCCCCTCCCAGGTACCTTACTTAGTGCAGATTGGGCCGATTCACTACTACAAACCCCCAAAAGAAGTCAACATTTTAGGGGATCACCGAAATAAAAAGTTGTGTAGGGGCCCGATGTTACTATTAATGAATGTTACTATCAATAAATACAATTTCTGTGGCACCGTGCAACAAGTCTATTTCCCCGAAGGGCAAACAAAGTCACAAGTATCTAATAGACATGGCAGTACCAGGTCAAATGATCTGATGTGAAGATATCGAGAAGAAATGTCGATCAAGGCGATCTCAATGTATTCACGCCTGACAGCGTTATCGCGTTCAATGCGACTCATTTGCTTATTTTGCTAATAGAATTTTGATGCATTCAGAATGTGAATGGTAGAGAGAATACCCCACACCCTCAAAGTTCTGACGTGGAGGGTATAATATGGAGGAGACACCTGCACACAGGTGTCTCCTCCTGGTGTAAGGCTTGAAGCCAAGAATTACCGAATAAAGTGAACGAATAAAAACAAGGATAAGTTTTGTTTCATCATATCCGATTATAAACCTGGAGGAAAATTTTTAAAAGTGGGTGGAGTGCCGGCTCGCCACCTTTGCAAGTGGTTTCCCGGTTACTCTAACCTCAGACGGAAGTTCATTATATCCCCAATGTTGCCCCGGAAGCTGGTTTAGATGATCATCTAGCATTCACTCACCAGTTCTATTCTTAATGCAGCGTCTTATATAAAAAAAATGTTTACTGCGTGATCCTCGTTCCTTGCTCCCCTTTCCTTACTACAAATCTTGAACTTCCGTTTGTTCTGATGCATGAGCCATTATAGCGGACTGACGTGACAAAGACGGAGGATGAAGAGGGGGTGAAGATTAATGTATATCATGAAGGGAAGGATGTGGTTAGTCACAATTCGAATGGACCGACCAAGATAGTCTCTCGCGCGCTAAGTAGACGTCGAACTATTGAGTGTGAGGAAGATGGAAGAAGGTACCAGGGGCCAAACGACAAAAACATTTTCCAGCTTCAAATTCTGGATATTTGTGAGTTTCTCCTCATCTTCACGGTGCACATCTATCGAAGAGAACGCAGCGACACGGAGTGCGTTTCTGTCTCTAGGTATTTGGGACCGCGGCGGTGACACTGTTCCGAGTTGCACAGGGCATGGGTTGGGTGCAGCGACCAGGTGAGAAGTGGGAAAAGTACTCCGTGGAGACAAACTCGGATAGGAGCAACGTAATCGTCGGGACTCTGGTGGGGTTGTTCGTCTCCAACCTCGTCTTCTCCGCCGCATGCCTCCTTCGCCTTGATTTCGCATCCATCGTGAGTTTTGCGCCGCCATCCCTAACTAATACTGGATATGAGGGGTGCACAGCTTTTCATGTATTTCCGACGGTCTTGTGATGTAATGTAGCGCCGCCATTGTGCCATAGGTTCCTGACGGGTGCGGGCATTTTATTTAAGGCCGCAAAGGAAAGTCGTGTTTCATCCTTGAAACGTCACAAAGAATAAGTTTCCCTCTAAGAAGAAAAATCACGTTAAAACAATTCCACTAGGGTGATGTCGTCTGGCCGGCCTAGTCACTTAATTTACCTGTCGGTGATGGATTGGCATTTTCTCCCTCAATTTAGCACCAAGTTACGAACAGAATGCCCACTTAATTAATGTTTCCATACGAATCCCTACCATATCGCAAGTTAGAATATAGCACATGTATTTTGTTTCAGTCTCAGAGATTATGTTTTTCTGATCGTTTAACTCACGCCCAATCGTAACAGTGGCTTATTTAGGAATGTCCGAGGTGTTTCTTTTTCAACAAGGTGATTGCAAATTTTAAATTAATTTTTTTATTGGCTCCTCTGACCATTTTTCCATAATAACAACAGATATGAATTCCTTCTCCCTGATTTTGTTTTGTAGGAGGCTCTACACGGAGCCGTGTGCGCTTTTCTCTACGCCGCCACGGGGGGCAATCTCATCGACAGCGCGAGATCCTCTGATTCGCGCAATGGGAAGAATTTCGTCTTCGCTTCCGGTGTCGTTTGTCTCCTGCTCGGCTTCTCTTATGTCGCGGTTGTCTTGTACGTCGCTGGCAATAGGCTCTTCGGACCTATCCGTATAGGTCGCTATTAGCATGTATCACTTTTTTGAATAATATTGATAATAATAAAACGAAAATGTAGATGAAAGGACGTTTCATTCGAAGACAACTTTCGACGTTCATTTTTCGTTAACCACTTACCAGATTTTTCTTTGCAATGAAATGAACCAAAAATGTCATTTCACACAGCACATCTCATCTATTACACAGATTTCAAAATGTAAGTAGGCGAAACCTGAGTCGAATGACACGTGAAAATCAAGAACGAAACAAAAAAGCACTTACCGTCTCTAGGGGGCAAGATTGATTTAGGAAGGACAGCGTCGTCTGCATCAGAGACGGACAAATTGTGGAAGTGGTTAATTGACATGGTGTGCCAGTTACCCGCTCCAAAAAAAAATTTACAAGTAGATGATGAAAACTTTTTTTTTAGAGAAATATGCGAGCACACAATCCCAACCATAGGCGAGAAGTAATGATATAATAGCCAAAACAACAATATAGCAAATATGAGGGAAATATGGAATAAAAATGAGATTTGAAAGAACTACCGCCATGCCCAGGCGAAGATTGAGAATGAAACATGAAGGGAAACGGAAAGATGGTAGACTTACCTTGTTAGTGAAGATTGGTATGAACGTAGGCAAAGAAAGGTTTTTCCTGATTTTATAATGCAATCCGTGAGTATTTGATGCATCTCTATCATGGAGAAGCTGTAAGTTCTATCCACTAAAAGGATTATTCAATACCTCATTTTAATCACCTTCGGAAAAGATAGCGACTCATTCTCGTCTCTCTCTTTCCTCAAAGAGAGTGTCAGAGAAGAACGACATTCATGCATCTTTTATACTTTGATAGGGTCAAGAAATGCGGGCAGCCGTCTCCGAAGTAATGTAGATGCAATCAGTGAAGCAGGGCGTCCATCGTTTCACAGCAATTCCTCTCCCGACGGGAAGAAGCTGTGATGCTCTTCATTTTCCCTGTATCCGATAGGGAACTACACATAAGAATGCCTTTCTTCTCGAGAATGAAAACGGCTTTTTCTGATGTATTACGATATCATAATTATGGGGATATCAGTGGCTACTGGGAGTCATCTACCATTCGGAATGTAAACTAAAAGTGTCGGGCGGCTTCCCTAAGGTGTCAATACGAAAAGGTCCGATCAGGACGGTTTTTCCCAGAATATTCATAGCAGGCTTTTCCGACAAGAATGAGGGAAAAGATCGTTCGCTTAAACGCCAAAATTCGAATGTACGTCTCTTAGCCGTAATATTTTGTGAAAGAGAAGTGGAAAATTCCGCAAATAAAACGAAGTCGGATTTTCCAGGATATGCAGGGAAAATTTTCCCTCCATTAGTGGGATGCGGGTTTATGCACTCTTGGTCGGAAATTTTTAAAGATGGAGACTGGGAATTTCCGAAAATGTGTACAGTGCAGAAGAAATTTGACATATTCGAGCAATGAATGCAATAATAGAAATCCCTGACCTCTCTCGGGAATATAAGAAAATAACCACTTTTCAAACGGAACAACCGACTGTAAGAGAAATTGGAATCTACTGGACGATGGGAGAAAGGCGTGCACATATGAAATCAGTCCTGAAAAGTCCCTGATCTCATCCGTGAAAGAAACATGCTCTTTTCACAAATAAATTCTGGGAATTTCTTTTGACACATCCACATGATGAAATAGGAAACAATATTTCCGCTGTCGAACCGGAATTCCTGTTTCCGCGCATTAAGTGACAAGGTTGTTTCCAATGCTTCCCTTGGAATTTTCGAAATACTTTTCAGTGGTGTCGTGATGAGAGCCGAAAATAAATTAACTTCAAAAGTGATGGTTGAACAAATGTTGAAAAATCATGGAAGTACCGTGCATGCATGTTTGCTGGTAGCCACGTGGTTGCTGAATCCCACAGTGACGTCACACCATGCCAAGCAATGTTGGCATGAGTGGACACTGACTTTTGGTACGATAGAATGTATCAGAAAGGAAGGACGTGCTTAGTCATCATCGACATAGAGAACGATGATAGCCACATCCCTATTAGTATAGTTGAAGTCAGAGTGAGAAAGATGGTCACGACAGTCCAGACGAAACTAGGTGCCAGCTGTAATTGGTGGACAAGCGTGAGTTTCTCTTCGAGTTCGTCCAGCTTCATACACAGAGGAGGATTTGGCAATGCATTTCCGTCTCTAGATACTGGGGATCGTTGCGCTGATGCTTTTTCGGGCCGCACAAGATGCGCGTTGGGACCAAGCGGCAGAACAATCGGGAAGGACCTTCTATGCGGGATACCCAGCCCGACCTTCCAACGCCGAACCGACAACTAAACTAAACTTCGATGAGGGTAATATAATCGTCGGAACGGTGGTGGGGTTATTCCTCTCCACCATCATCATCTCTCTCGGCCGCAGCACCGATAACGATCTCGAATTCACCGTGAGTTTTGCACGAACATCCCCATAGCCTGACTAAAAATGCAAGAGGTGCGCGTTTAAGGAGCTCTATCGAAAGGTTGTAATCATCGTGATTCAGGTTCTTCATGACAAAATGTATTTCCCGCTTCCTCAAGTGAGGTTGTGAAGGGCAAACGTGTTCTTAGTCGGAGCGTAAGCCTCGACAGCATGGGACTAATGCATACGAAAGAATTTTAAAAAATTATTTTAAAAATTTATGCATTTTCTTGGAATAATATCACATGGCAGTGATGTTTCAACGCTGTAAGCTCTCTCACTTGCCCGGGCTGCTATTTATCGTCGTTCTGCCATCAATTTAGTATATTTAAGCAATTTCAGGCACAACAACGATTGAGTTGTGATGCTCAGAACTTGTTCCAATAAGAGCAGTTTCTTTGTTTTTTTCAGTTATTAGATCTGTTTCTGGCGTCCATAGATACATTTACGCAATAGTGGCTAATTTCAACCCCGATTCTGTCCTCCAGGTAGGTTTTCATCAACTTGTGAGTGCCGTGTTCTACATGACCACAGGAAGTATTCTCATCGACAATGCGAGAACTGCCGAATCGTTCAAAGGAATGGATTTTCTCCTCGCTTCTGGAATCGTTTGTCTCGTCCTCGGCCTCGTCTATCTCAAGGCACCGACTGTGGCATCACAAGATGAGCCGGGCAACCCGGAACAGGCCCAAGAAATTAGGGATAACTAAGTAAAAGTTTTTTTTTTATGAAAACAAAGAAGCTTCCTAACCGGCGTTTCATTTGAAGATGCACTAAAAAAAGGAAATTTCCTATTCTTCATTGTAAACATTTTCGACTAGAAGCACGTAAACCTACGTCCGCCTTAATTGTCTTCAATAAATTTCATGCATACCCTCGAAAATTCAACTTCGTTTCTTTTTCTTATTCGTGATATTTTACGCCTAAAGGATCTAAATTCCGAGTCCGACAACGAAGCCGAATGCCGTGATCCCACATCAGCCTACTATTTTTAAAGCAATCTCTCTGCTAATCTGTGTGATTCACATCACTACAATCACGTTCGCGCAAGGCTAGTCAAGATCGTTTCAGTTTTTAAATCATAGCGTTTTCAAGTTTATTTTATCAATAGAATTTAAGGAGACACGGTCGGAGGAAGCAAAGTGTATTTCTGCAACATCACCATTAAGGATGGCCTAAAAAAGAAGTTTAAATGGCTTTGCCGACATAAATTTCCTTTTGAAAAATGAACTTGAGAGAAAGGGCAGCTGCGGCGAGCAGAGAAGAGATTCAGGGAATCAAATAGATGCATTTTGGATATTTATAAATCAGTCGTCCGTGTGAAGCAGTTAAAACACATGACACAAAGGCCAGATTTGGTCACGCCCAAAATGTATCTGGATGATTCTGTGCGAGTGTTTCTTGCTTTTGAAGCATTTTTGCGCCTTTTTTCCGCATCACACCCATCCTCCTCTGCCTCGGGGCGGAGGAAAGGAATTCAATCCGAAGACACTGGGATTTCACTTGTTCGACTAGATCTGTAGTTCGCCAAGGACATAAGTTTCGATCCATTCAATTCCCTGTCTGTGTTGTCTTGAAAATCGCCAGTAGTGGCGGTTCAGTGGGAAAAAAATAATGCGTGTACTCAAATCTGCTTTAAAAAAAATATTCTGTTGATTTTTCACATCCCAAAGAAAATAATATCTTTATTTCTGGTGACTCTAGTCAAAGATCATAGATAAGTCTGAATTGTTTTTCTTTGAGGCGCTTAAAGGAAAATATGCGAACTTAGATATTTTATTGGGGAGGTGATTAAGATTGTGTAAAGGCGCGAAAACACCTATTGCTTCAAGGCGAGAAGCTACACATACTGAAACGTCATCTGAAACAACTGTGTAAATATCAAAAGCTTTTAAGCTCGAGAGCTTAGTCGACCGGCGATATGTGCTATACTACCAATGCACGGAACGAAATGCAAACACGATAAAAACTGGACTCGACATATAGAAGGAGCGCTCACATTGGAATCTTTGAACACCCACAAGCTACGACCACCCCCCGGAGGGAAGGCATCATAGGGAAGAGGTCTTGTACTGATGCACTTGTGTTTGAATCTCTCGACAGCTGATGCATTAGCCGGAGGTTTTATGAACGTTACCCGACCTGCGTCTCGACGATGCAAGGGCACTCAAACCCTACGTCTTCACCAGGATATTGATGCATTTCAGTTTTGGTGAAGTTGATAAGAATTTGGTTTTGTAAATTCATTGAGAGGCCAAATAATAAAATCAGGTGATGAATCATTATTTCTTCATGACAGGGTCAATATTATTTGGTAATGGATTAAATACTTCACACATGTCATCGCTCCGAAGATGCAGGTAAAATATAACAATACGATTATGAGAGCTCGAATAATCATAAAATTTATTCTGATTAATTCTATACACATTGGTTGCTGGTTGCCAATGCGTGGTACTTGGAAATTCCAGCTGGTAATACCGCTCTTAGGGTCCACAGTTGTCCGCGTCCGAGAAAATCAGTTCATGTCTTGCATAGATGGGGCAGGTGGACACTGACACACGTGGAAGAACCTTAACGGAGACAGCTTCTCATGTAATCTAAATCAAATTCAGATGAGCAATCCCAACGAATTCTGCTCAGGAAATTCTGATTAACTGCAAGCCAGGCTGCATCACAATCGCATTCAATGGGATTGCCTGGAATGTAAGAGTGAAAGGACCGAGATAAAGAGAATGGTGATCTAATTCTATAAACATGTGAAAAGTCGAGCCACTCACCTTCAAGATTGAGATATCCGTCTCCAAGAGACAAAATCTCCATCATGGGACGGAAGCTTTTTTCAGCAAGCATAGAGATGTCGTTATTGTCAAAATGAACTTTCGTGTTGGGTCTCAGACCTGGAATGATAGGATGCACTTCATTGCTGTATCTGCGTGTTCCTGACCTTATTTCCACTTTGACGCATCAAGTCTCAAACCACTGACACCAGTTCCCCGCCGAGGAAGGTTCTACCGAGGCGGATACTCAGTAACCCGCGAGCGAACAGTGCACTACTAAATCTTGTAATCTGAAATTTCGTACCTCAGTAATCCCTCTGGATTAATTACGGGGTTGTAGGCAGATGTATCCGGATGGGTACATCTGCCTACAACCCCCTAAGACCATTATAATATTTCAGAGGAACCTAGTAACCTCATATTCTTGTTTCACTTCTCTAGAATTAGTGTTATTTGTCTTCATTACACGCTCCGGAGTAGGTTTAACCTATGACACGTTAGAGTAGCGGCCACGAACAATACTCTAAAATTATGTACAATTTGGTGGACACACCAGGTCAGCATTCCATGAGGGAAGAAAAATATTTTTCATGCACGCACCTACGGATGGAAAGTATGCCAAAAACGAAGCGACTTACTACTTCATAATAGCAGAAATGAAAGGAGACAGATTTTCCTCAAGATTCGAATGACCCTGGAGAATATCAATTCTCTATTAAACGCACTAGTAGGAGCATAGAAAAAGTTGGGAATTCACTTACTTCCTCATCGATTTTTCTCCGTGAATGTGAAAGTCATTGATGGAAACTATAGGCATGTACCAGAAAAAAATGGAAAGCGGACCAGCAGGAATAAGATGACGTCACGCGGATCCTCGAAGAAAGTAAGAGAGCTTTTCTGAGTTCTCTGGTGTCTCTACGGAAAGCAAAGAGAAGATGGTTGTCATTGCAACACCAAAAGAGGTGAAGAACTTCCTTTTCGCATTTCTTTCAGGATGCCATCTGACGCCATTTACTCTCTTTTCGTTTCCCTGTATCACCTTAACCGATGGAATAAGTGTGTGGTTTAGGACGGTGACTTTTTTTCATTACGACTCACACATAGTTCAAGTTATAGAAAATTAGTATCATCTGTAAAAAGACTTGCTTGCAGGCAAAGGAAATGTAATTTAATACTTACAGTGTGAATGTAGCATATTGGAATCATGTGAAGGGCGAACCGCTAATTTCTCTGTGTCACGAATGGTTTAGTCCAATATCATGAGAGGGACGCCTCACGTGCACCTTGGGAACTCTCTTCTGTGCACATGCTTTTCGATGAAATTAGTAGACTTGGAGCAAAAAAAAATCGCCATGCACATATGCTCTTATTGCATTCGTTGGCAATTTCCCAAATTACTCCTGCAATATTGGTATCAGAAACCTGAAATTTCGCCTGGACTCTCAGAAATAACAACCCTTGAATGTGTTGGTAATGATTTTAGTGATTTACTTTTGTATGACTCAGGTAAGGAGCCAAGAGGCAACTACCATCAATTAAAAAGAAGACAAATTGTTCGTTTTTTGCATAAAAATATGAAAAGTCACTTTTTCCTCCCAATCTATATATGTATGTTTCATCATGGAGTCGTATGAATTTGAAGAAATTTTGGACTATATTTTTATATGCGGCTTGGGAAATGCCAGATGTAATAATGTTTCAAGTTTTTGAGAATGTATCAGAAACCACGGGACCTTAATAATTCCAATAATTCCAATTATGCTTCAAAAAGATAATTGGAATACAAGCTTTTCAATAGTATCAACGAATTTTGCTTCCTGCAAAGAATTTCGATTTTTATTTTTTTGCTCATCGTCTCCCCTTAATGCAGAAAATAATGAGCTCAAAAGCGTAACGCGCAGAATAAACATGGCTTTTCGATGCCATGCGTGAGATGAAAAATATCACGTATATAACCCTTTCGGTACCACAAACGTGATAGTTACGTTCAGCATGAACTGTCCTCCCAGCCTAAAACTCCGTCCAGGAGGGAAAGTACAACGATTTAGCTCAAAAACGAAAGGGTTAAGAAACACCCTTCCCACATCCACTCTACATGTTCAAATTCTTCACCTTAGATAATGATTCTCACGAGGGATCCTACCTGTGATACATCCAGGCTCCAGTTCTGAGATGTTGCTGGAGCTGAGATTCACACTCTCCAAGGACGTGCTCCGGAATTCTAAAAGTCCTCTTGCAAGAGTGGGTCCCAAGTTGCAATTGTCACAGTTGAATTTCTCCAGTTTCCGGAGGCTCTTGATCACGGCAGATGGAAACTCCAAAAGAGGGTTCCCACCTGCATAAAAAAGTATAAAAACCTACTCATGAATTTTGGAAGAAACTGCAAATAAGTTCAAACACCTTCATAGATTTGATTAAAATAAAAACATTTCCCAATCATTGTAGTCTACCTATTTAACCCTAGCTTAAAAAATTATGACATTTTTGCTCATCATTGCCATCAATGATGTCACACGAGCAAATATTTTTCAGTAAATGATATCTCAGATGAATTAGGAACGATTCTTTGAAAGTTTGGACATTTTCATCCGTTGCTCTAACCTTTAGTATACGGATTTGATTGACCAGAGTAAGCGCTGGCTGCCGTATTTTTTCTCGCAGCTCGTAAACATTTCCTAGCTGAGTGGTGCCACTGTTCTAAAAATGATCTCTTCATAATGAAAGCATTATTGACGTTGGAAAAGGACATTTTCCGAAAAGTTACGGTGTAGCATTTGTACCTTTGGACCAAATAAAAATACATTCTGTGGCTCAGTAGTTGTACCTTTCAGCGATTAAAATTAAATGCAAAAAGTTTCAAACTTGAAGATATGAAACCTGCATTGAACCAAATATCCGCTTGATGCTTCCCCAGGCACTCTACGCTGACA